TCTGGGGCACCTGTTGCTGGCCACTGTCGGCAGACAGGCTACTGGGCTAGATGGACCTTTGGTCTGACCCAGTACGGCCGCTCTTATGTTCTTATGGTGGCACTCCTTGTGGCCCTTCAAACACACTGTAATTTAGAGACCTATCTTGCTAGAGTCCTTCCTTCAGACAGGCCGGCTGGTTTCAACATTCAGCAGCCATGTATGGGAGGATTTAGAAGCTGGTTTGTCCATATTAATGACATATCTCTGAAGGAGGATGAAAGCACATTTAAGTGCCTACACAGGAAATCATTTAGGCCTGTTCTTTTTGTTCTCTGAGTGCTCTGAAGTGGTGGCTGGAGAGAAATATCTGCCATTTTGAAGGCTCTCTGAATGACCACTTCACTCCAACTCTGGGAAACATCTTTCTGCATTCTCTCCTTTGGTAAAGAGCATTATTACATCTCAAAAAGAGGGGCCAGGGTAGGGAGGGTGATCACTGCTACTAGAAATTCAAAATTTCATCTACTATGTTTCGCTTCATAATATTAGAGCTATGAATAGCGATAACATGGGATTATTTTTTACTGGAATGAAAGGCATGTCTGCATGGCTTCACAATCTGGTAACTAGAAGTTGCTGTTTTACAGAACATGGGCAATTAAGAGAACACTGAAATATTGGGTATTGTTGGGCAGAATACGTTCATCTCAGTGAGGGCAGGTCTATACTAAAGTTGGAAGGTCAACTTAAAGTACACAACTCCAGCTACATAAATAATATAGCTGGAGTCGACGTACCTTAAGCCAAGTTTTGGTGCCATCCCCATAGCGGGAGGACGGTGGGAGAAATGCTCCTTTCAACTTCCTTTACTCATAACTGCAAAGAGCACTGTGGTTGATGGGGACACTGTCAGCATTCGATTTAGTGGATCTTCACTAGAACTTCTAAATCGAACACAAGAAGATCGACTGCCACACCAGACAAGCCCTGAGACAGCATTTGGTTTTTTTTTCAGTAGTCTTTCACTGACCTTTTTTCTGTATACGTGAACAGGTTCAGAGAAATTCAAGACTTTTCAAATATGAGAAAATTATGCATAGCAAATATATGGTCTGGGCCATGTCTATATAGCCATGTAACTTTATCCTAGAATGATGCAGCATCATGAAGGGATGACTGACAGTTGCTGGGATTATTCTCAGGAATACTTTCTTGTGATGATGAAGTTCCATTCTGGCTTCCCCATGTAATGTCAGCTGTGTGTGTGATTTTTTTTCCCTTTAGGTTTGAGTACCAGCTAGTAGTATGCATTTTGATTTCAGCTCTTCAGCATAGCTGTCTGCACATATACTGGGATTTATTTTCAGATATCCGCTGTAGGGATGTTGCAATGTGTTTAGTTAGTTAAACGTGTAACCACTGAAAATTTCTGCAGTTTACACATGCCAGGAAGGGGGGGGGTGCAGGTGGGCAGAAAATGGCTCCCATGGAGCTGCCTACCCCACTCCACCCCCCAACCTGCTGCTTCTGATACAGGAGCAGCAGCGCAGGGGAAGGGGGCCAGGTGGGAGCTGGTGTCTTAAAAGCCAGCTCTCCGTGAACAACTTCTGTCTCTCCTCTCCCTGCACTACGCTGCCTCTGTATCAGAGGCAGCGCAGGGCAGGCGGCTCCACAGGAGCTGGCTTGAAAGTTGGCTCCTTGCACATACTGGCTTCCATCCCCCTTCCATCCCCCTTTCCACTCCACACTATTACTTCTGATGCAGAGGTGTGTGTGTGTGTGTGTGTGTGTGTGTGTGTGTGTGTGTGTGTGTGTGGGT